ATCCACGCCCAACCATTTTTAACAACAATGATCACTATAAGACCAGCTGTATTACTATTTCAGCCATCACCTCCATGGACACCACTACTAACACCAACACGAAAACGACCACCAGTACCTCCAACAATAACAACGCAATAATTATTACCATCATTGCACCCTCAAGCACTCCACCCCCATTCTTCTTTCATCAGCTGTGAGTTGTCATTTCAGCTGTGATGGGCCCAGACGAGTACCACTATCCAGTGAACAACTCTGTGTACACCAACAGTATTGTGGCCATCAACCTGAGGTTTGCCAACAAAATCTCCAAGATCTTAGGACTGGTAAGTATATTATTGCTAGGGTGGATATTACAAAGAGAAAGAAAATGGATGTTGGAGATGGATAGGACGGCATTGTTGGGTAGTTGATCTTGTTTGCTGCTTTTGTTGTTACTTTTGTTGTTTTGTTGTCGTTTTTAAAAATCATTATTGTTGTTTCTGTTGCTGTTTTTGCTTCTATTGTTAGGGCTGTTGCTGTTGTTATCGTTGTAGTTGTTGCTGTCATCGCTAACGATACTTCTGTTCAAAAGACATTATGAAACAGTCTTCAAGCAGCCCAGAAACCCTTTTATCATTGGTCTTTGTCCTAAACACTGAATGAAATACCTACAAACCTAGAGCCTTCTAAACGATACAAATTGTGCTGACGAAGGTTAAAAAATAATATTTGCAATGGATCAGGCCTTTGGTTGGTGGGTGCTATGGTGTGGTTGGCTCCTTCTTTCCTATCAAACATCTGTAGAAGCTGGTCCTTTTCTCCCCTCCTTCTTTCTTTGTTTTTTGTAGCTCTCTTGTAACACCTCGAATCTTTGGCACATATATGACCTTCTTATGTAGCTAGTGCCGTAAAACTCTACTAAACTAAACGTATGCGTCTTTCCTTTCTGCAGCCAGTGGAGCCGAAGTGGGAGCAGTTGGCCTCTAAACTGGTCATCCCGTACGACGCTGTGCAGGATTACCACCCAGAGTTTGAAGGCTACACGCTCCCTGACCAGACCAAGCAGGCAGATACGGTGCTTTTGAACTTCCCCCTCATGGTGGATATGAAGCCCAGCACCATGGAAAATGACCTCAGATTTTATGAACAGGTATGTCTTTTGAATTTCTATAATCACATGTTTTGTTTTATTTTAGAAAGAGTTTTACGGCACTTGCTAAACAATGCGGTCCTATAAGTGCCGAAGATTAGAGGTGTTACAAGAGAGTTACAAACGCATAAAAGAAGGAGGCGAGATATATACGATAGATCAAACCAGAACACCTGTCAAACACCCACTAATCATGTTTGCAGGTCTTACAAAAAGGTGTGTCTTTGTGATTGATCCTGTTTTCCATTTTGCTATCTCCATTGACATTGAGGAATTGTTATTGTAACTATAGATGTTTCAGGCCTGCATCGGCACAATTTAGATTATGAGGAAAGCAGACTGGCGACCTAGCCTGTCAGGGCCAAACCGGGCTGAAGGGGACATGTAACATCCCATCAGATTAGCGGAGAAACTGTAAAAAAAACCAAAAAAACTTAACCTGTCCGAATTGAAATTACTTCTTCTGCTAGCAAAGGCATAGACTGTATTTGTCACGGATTAAAAAACAACAACAATCTTCCCCTCTCTAGAATCGAACTCACTAAACTCTGTTAGAACGATAAAGACGGCGAATGTCATTTTCACTCACCATTGGGCCAATACCTGCCTCGTCATAAAAGCACCTGATTAGTGATTTGAGGGTCACTGCTTTCCTACAACAACAAAATTCAACAACAACAAAAAAATCTATTAAACCTTGTACCAGAAACATATTTCAGCTTACAATGCGTGTAAACATGATCCCAAGTCCTTGTTAGAGCACGTTTACTGTATATCCAAATTATGTGAGGCGGCATGGTGAAATCAGACCCTCGTCAAAAGGATGAAATTGAAGAAACCGGCATGAATTATGTAACTTCAGAGTCCTTGGAAACTGAAAATTCACCTGCACCAGCTCTGCCTGCAAAAAAAAGGT